AATGGCTTCCGAATGATGCAAAAAATTCCGTCAAAATGGCCTCTTAAAAAGACGAAATTTGTCTGAAGAAAAAAAACACACCCCGAGCACAAATATTCCGTTACTTTCGTTGCGAAAGTCGGAACATTATGGCCTTTTGTTTTGGCAAGACAAAAAAGATTTAAATCTATTTTTAGTCCAATTTTGTTGTCTGAATGTAACATGGGAACCGATTGTATTTACAATGTTTTAGATCACAAAAATCCATTATAATCGATTTGTTTTCACTTTTCTTAAACGCGGGAACGTTATGGGCGGGGGGTTGGGACGGAGAGAGGCAAACGCGCATCATCTTGCAGAAAAGTTGGCGGGATACGTGAGCAAAAACCATAGCACTAGTTAATCTCCCCGCGGAAGGAATGAAAATAGGGAAAGATCACATAAGGTTTTCAGTTTTTAATGCAAAAACTACTGATATTTGTAACAAACTAATGACAAATGAAGTCCACCAGAAGGGTCAGAAATATTGGATTTTTTGAAATGTTTGCATAAGAATGATTATAATTGATTGAAATTGATTTTGATGCTCAAAAAATATAATGATTGTTGTTCCGACTTTTGTAACAAAAGTAACGGAATATTTTTGCTCGGGTGGTTTTTTTCTCCAGACAAAATTCGATTTTTAACTAGGCATTTTTGACAAAAGTATTTCATATCATTAAAAAAGTAATGTTTCTTGAGCTTAAATATGAAAAGATATTTCACCTCGGATCATTTTTCGTAAAGTTACGGGGGTTTAAAGATGGTCATTTTGGCCAATTTGGGACAATTAATGCTCGATATACTTCGCACTATTAACGCGCGCGTAAGCAGAGATTCAATCCGTCTTAGAAATCGTTCCAAATTGGTTGAAGGAAGCTTATTTGCCATAATAGATTTGTTACTAGGAATCACTTTGAATTCTATACGGCGTGTGGTAGGATGATTTTCACAAAAAATCTCAAAAAAAATTCTTTTCTTATTACATGTAAATTTTTTCTTGTTATAACTGGTCCAAAATTCTTAAAATGCAGTCGAAACATTTAAGGTTTCGCCCTGATACGAGCAGTCTTGTCATTCATTTTAACTGAGATACATCAATTTGATACCAAAACAAGGAAAAAGTTCTCATCAAAGTAGTAAGTCCTAATTAGTCTATATGTCAATTTTCATAACAATCGGACAATATGGTCAACAAACTTACTTGTAAAAGTTTGCAGGTGAGGGGGAAAAGGAAAAAGAGCCCGACTGCCTTTCAAGATTTATGGAGCAGTTGTAACATAAAAAAATTGAATGGAATAAAAAAATGATTTTTTTTAATTTGAGATTTTTTGTGAAAATCATCCCCCCACACGCCATTTATAGTAACAAAAAGTAACAAAACATTTATGGCAAAAAAGCTTCTTTCAACCAATTTGCAACGAGCTCTAAAACGGATTAATCTCCGCTTACGCGTTAATTGTGCGAATTATCTCGCGCGTTAATTGTCCCAAATTGGCCAAAACGGCAATCTTTAAATCCCCATAACTTTAGGAAAAAAGTCACAGATGAAATATCTTTTCAAATTTAAGCTTAAGACGACAATGGCTTCCGAATGATGCAAAAAATTCCGTCAAAATGGCCTCTTAAAAAGACGAAATTTGTCTGAAGAAAAAAAAACACACCCCGAGCACAAATATTCCGTTACTTTCGTTGCGAAAGTCGGAACATTATGGCCTTTTGTTTTGGCAAGACAAAAAAGATTTAAATCTATTTTTAGTCCAATTTTGTTGTCTGAATGTAACATGGGAACCGATTGTATTTACAATGTTTTAGATCACAAAAATCCATTATAATCGATTTGTTTTCACTTTTCTTAAACGCGGGAACGTTATGGGCGGGGGGTTGGGACGGAGAGAGGCAAACGCGCATCATCTTGCAGAAAAGTTGGCGGGATACGTGAGCAAAAACCATAGCACTAGTTAATCTCCCCGCGGAAGGAATGAAAATAGGGAAAGATCACATAAGGTTTTCAGTTTTTAATGCAAAAACTACTGATATTTGTAACAAACTAATGACAAATGAAGTCCACCAGAAGGGTCAGAAATATTGGATTTTTTTGAAATGTTTGCATAAGAATGATTATAATTGATTGAAATTGATTTTGATGCTCAAAAAATATAATGATTGTTGTTCCGACTTTCGTAACAAAAGTAACGGAATATTTTTGCTCGGGTGGTTTTTTTTCTCCAGACAAAATTCGATTTTTAACTAGGCATTTTTGACAAAAGTGTTTCATATCATTAAAAAGGTAATTTTTTTTGAGCTTAAATATGAAAAGATATTTCACCTCGGATCATTTTTTGTAAAGTTACGGGGGTTTAAAAATGGTCATTTTGGCCAATTTGGGACAATTAATGCTCGATATACTTCGCACTATTAACGCGCGCGTAAGCAGAGATTCAATCCGTCTTAGAAATCGTTCCAAATTGGTTGAAGGAAGCTTATTTGCCATAATAGATTTGTTACTAGGAATCACTTTGAATTCTATACGGCGTGTGGTAGGATGATTTTCACAAAAAATCTCAAAAAAAAATCTTTTCTTATTACATGTAAATTTTTTCTTGTTATAACTGGTCCAAAATTCTGAAAAAGCAGTCGAAACATTTAAGGCTTCGCCCTGATACGAGCAGTCTTGTTATTCATTTTAACTGAGATACATCAATTTGATACCAAAACAAGGAAAAAGTTCTCATCAAAGTAGTAAGTCCTAATTAGTCTATATGTCAATTTTCATAACAATCGGACAATATGGTCAACAAACTTACTTGTAAAAGTTTGCAGGTGAGGGGGAAAAGGAAAAAGAGCCCGACTGCCTTTCAAGATTTATGGAGCAGTTGTAACATAAAAAAATTGAATGGAATAAAAAAATGATTTTTTTTAATTTGAGATTTTTTGTGAAAATCATCCCCCCACACGCCATTTATAGTAACAAAAAGTAACAAAACATTTATGGCAAAAAAGCTTCTTTCAACCAATTTGCAACGAGCTCTAAAACGGATTAATCTCCGCTTACGCGTTAATTGTGCGAATTATATCGCGCGTTAATTGTCCCAAATTTGCCAAAACGGCAATCTTTAAATCCCCATAACTTTAGGAAAAAAGTCACAGATGAAATATCTTTTCAAATTTAAGCTTAAGACGACAATGGCTTCCGAATGATGCAAAAAATTCCGTCAAAATGGCCTCTTAAAAAGACGAAATTTGTCTGAAGAAAAAAAAAACACACCCCGAGCACAAATATTCCGTTACTTTCGTTGCGAAAGTCGGAACATTATGGCCTTTTGTTTTGGCAAGACAAAAAAGATTTAAATCTATTTTTAGTCCAATTTTGTTGTCTGAATGTAACATGGGAACCGATTGTATTTACAATGTTTTAGATCACAAAAATCCATTATAATCGATTTGTTTTCACTTTTCTTAAACGCGGGAACGTTATGGGCGGGGGGTTGGGACGGAGAGAGGCAAACGCGCATCATCTTGCAGAAAAGTTGGCGGGATACGTGAGCAAAAACCATAGCACTAGTTAATCTCCCCGCGAAAGGAATGAAAATAGGGAAAGATCACATAAGGTTTTCAGTTTTTAATGCAAAAACTACTGATATTTGTAACAAACTAATGACAAATGAAGTCCACCAGAAGGGACAGAAATATTGGATTTTTTGAAATGTTTGCATAAGAATGATTATAATTGATTGAAATTGATTTTGATGCTCAAAAAATATAATGATTGTTGTTCCGACTTTCGTAACAAAAGTAACGGAATATTTTTGCTCGGGTGGTTTTTTTTCTCCAGACAAAATTCGATTTTTAACTAGGCATTTTTGACAAAAGTGTTTCATATCATTAAAAAGGTAATGTTTCTTGAGCTTAAATATGAAAAGATATTTCACCTCGGATCACTTTTCGTAAAGTTACGGGGGTTTAAAGATGGTCATTTTGGCCAATTTGGGACAATTAATGCTCGATATACTTCGCACTATTAACGCGCGCGTAAGCAGAGATTCAATCCGTCTTAGAAATCGTTCCAAATTGGTTGAAGGAAGCTTATTTGCCATAATAGATTTGTTACTAGGAATCACTTTGAATTCTATACGGCGTGTGGTAGGATGATTTTCACAAAAAATCTCAAAAAAAATTCTTTTCTGATTACATGTAAATTTTTTCTTGTTATAACTGGTCCAAAATTCTTAAAAAGCAGTCGAAACATTCAAGGCTTCGCCCTGATACGAGCAGTCTTGTTATTCATTTTAACTGAGATACATCAATTTGATACCAAAACAAGGAAAAAGTTCTCATCAAAGTAGATTTTTATCTCTAAACTAGAAGTTTCTAGGATTTGACGTGTTAGCGGTAAAATTGAAACCCAAAACTACACCCTCGGTAGCAGGGAGTGCGGGTATTTTTTTTAAAAGTTATTTTGATTTTGTAAGTTTTGAATTTTTTTCAAAATCGTTAAATCGTCCATGTCTCTCAAACTACGAATGTCTAGAAGGTGATGTTAGAATTGTAATCCTAAAACACACTCCCATAAACACACTGCCAATTTCATTGGTTTTACAATTTAAATTTTTTTTTGATTATAACCTTTTTCCAAAAATAAATAAATTTTCTTGCAAGTTTTGAGCCTGAGATATTAGACTGATTTTGGTTTTAAAAAAGAATAAAGTTTTTCATTAACTCTCTATTTTTTTGATAATTTTAAATAAAATCACAAACAGACGCGAAAAAAATGGTGAAAAACTTAGAATGCTGATTTAATCCTTATTGCTCTTAAGAAATGATTTATTTCAGAGCATGGTAAAAAATTTCGAACTTTATTCATAAATTCTGATCGTGGTATTCAGATTAATTCGTTTTGACTATTCAGGCGGCTCAAACTTTATGAGACAAAAAAGTTTCCTTGGTCAATCAACGATAAAAAACAGATGGTGTGCAGTTCAAAATGGGAAGCATTCAACCGGACAGAATTCACAGATTTTTCACTCTAATTTTTGTATAAACCATTAAAAACTCGTTGGAATCCATTTTCGGTGTCCCAATTTGTACATCATATTTATATTTTCGAATATTTGTTTCTGAAAACTTATTGATAAATATTTCAATACTTTTCCAGTACTTGATTTAGAATTGAAAGCGAAGACTAATGATGGATTGGAAGACAGTATTATCAGGTGAGAGTTTGAAAACTGGAAAAGTTTATGGGATTAAATTAACAACTGCCGTCTTACATCGGTTAGGCAAATAGAGCCGGATGTTATTTTGGGACTAAGCTGCTAAGCTGAAGCTTATTTCAAGTCGATTGATTTTCTGGGCTGATCAAATTTATTCGAATTAATAGCGGTGGGGGAACTTAATTAGTTCAATTTATACAAATTTTTACTCAAAAGTTTGGTTCAATAATGATACAAATATGCGATTTATACTTTAAATTGTCTTCTTTCATTTTCCGAGCTTTGTTGTAGAAGCATAATTTCTTATAAATTATTTGATTCGCGCCTGTTTTTTAGAAAAATTGTGCAAATCGTCTTTTCAAAAAATATATCTATCTTCAGTTTTTTTTATGTCTTGAACTTTCAATTTGGTTTATGATAAAGGGACTGGCGTGTTTTTGCCTAACAGTTTTACTCGATGCTTATATTAGGGCAGAACATCGTGTATAACGTATCAAGAAGGAAACGATTTTCATGGGAGAACCCCCTCATTTTCTGCTGATTTTCCTTGACATATAAAAACTTCAAAAGTTACCTCAAAAAGCTACAATAGTAACTTCTATTAGGCTTTAGGATGATTTTAGCACAAAATCGATTAAAAAATTTAAGTTTGGACTTGATTTTTTTTGTGACAGGTTGCTTGCTGTTCCAAACCTACATTTCAATCAGTTTGGCAAGTTCCGACGAAAATGGCAACTCCACGGAAATAGACGCCAATTCGACTGGAAGTCCTTTTAGCGACGCGGAGTTCAAATCAGTGAAAGCGATCGCATTCGAGGTGTATTATTTGACAACTGATACGCTGCGAACATGCAAAGACGTGAAAGCAATCATCATGAAAATGGAAAACGAGGCTCAGGACGGAAGTGAAGAGGTGGCTTCGGACAGTCTGGCAGCCGAAGAGGATTCAATGTTCGCGTACGGTTACGTCATGATCCAAGTGAACAAACTGTATGATGTAATCCAATTATGCAACGAAACCTTGGAAGATTCCTTGTCGTTTGACAACAATTCGCTCGAAGTCAAGGCTGACTCGTTAACAAATTTGATGAAAACTCAAAATCCGAACAAAACTGAACTAGTTAGTTTATTCGAGAGCATAAAAAACGACACCGAGTTCTTTGACGTGACGATTTCTGATTGGTCCAACAGGTTGATCGGGGCTGCTATGAATATGAAAACTGCAGCCCGGGATGCCTATGATAAAATTCTAGAAGATTTTGAGAGTGGAGAAGATGCAAAACATGACGCAAAAGACACCCTAAACAAGTTGAAATATTTCGCAAATAATGTCGTTTCACTAGCGGAGGAAATTAAGGATCATAAGAAGGATCTGTTCAAGTATATAGATCCTTATTTGGAAACAACGGCAAATGGTATCAAAAATTACGATCCCGAAGAACCACGAGTTGAATTGGTCTAATGACTGAAAACATCGTAATTGTCCCCGAAATACCACTTTGAATTCGAGATCTCTTTAGCTACTCCCCCCCCCCCCGCTGGTTGACCAAAAATGCTTGTCAAACAGTTTTCATATATGGAGAAATTCTTTTCATACAATTTCGTACAACTCCATACGTACATAAAATCTCTGAAATTTTCTACTGCTGAAGTTTTTTGCAGCAAGGTAAAAATAGATTATCATAAACTTTTCATATGTGAAAATTGTCTGAGAAACATTTTTTCCATACACTCCGTGTATGAAATTGTATGATAACTAATTTTCTTTTATGGAGGTCAACCCGGTCCCCCTCTTTTGGTAAAGAAGCAATGTTCGCTACTGAGTACAAAATCAGCGTGTGCTTTACCCTTTAAACTTTTTTTATAGGGATGGTTGCAAGTATTAGGTTCCATAGGGGAAAGATAGTTACTGAGATCTCAAATACGTCTCAAAAATTGCAAGAATCATCAATAGACTACACAGTTTGAACGTATGTAAGCGCTAAAAAAGAAGTATAATATGGATTTTGGAAATTTAAAAAAATTTTGTAGTTGAATGTCAGATCTGGGTTATGGGAAATTCAAAATCGAATTTAAAAAATATAACAGAATTCTAGTTCAATTGTCCTGTTCTTGATTTTTTGAGTAGATTTGTTCCTAATTTCTAGCTGAGTTGAATCATGATGTATAAAAAGAAAAATAGATTGTTTCCTCTCAAACTTGAGCTTATTAGGTTTGATTTTCACCTCGACTATGTGCAACTAGAACTTCACAGCAGTTTTGCCGTCTTTATCTAATTGTTGAAGTTGATTTTCAAGCTATCGTTGCTCAGACCACGTCACAAAGTCCATGAGGGGAGGGTAGATTGTGTTTTCTGTCCCTGGATTTCAGGTACCCCCCAAAAAATTCGTTGCGAGTCTTATCTAAACCTTCTTGGCCACCATTTGGACTCCAAAACTGATCTAAAAAACGACTTTTCTAATCTTCCAAGTAAAATTAGCCAAAAGTGATAAAATTGATCCTTAATTTATAGAAAAATCCATATGTTTTTTACAAGCTTCAAATGATTAATTATTCTGTACTAAAAGATGATATTTAAAATTTCAAATCTAAGTTCAGTTTTTTCAAACTTTTCATCGCAATGATGAACATAGGTCGAGAAACATAAGATTAAATTTTTGATTTTACTCTAATTTTGAGGAAATAAATCCCGCAAGCAGGCTCTATTTCTTATAATTCAAGTTAGGCCGTAATTTTTTTCTCGTTATTTTAGTTTTTGTAATTTTTTTAGCGTCTACTTTAGAGCCAACGAAACATTAAAGTTTTTTGTAATATATTTTTGCAAAAAAAAACGAAAACATTTTTAACTATGTTTTGAAAGTTTTCTTTAATTTTTCGTTGATTTTTCGAATCATTTTCTAAGGAAAATTGTTGTAGATTAAAATCTAATCTAGTATAAATCATGAAATTGCCTTATATTTAGACCTTCGTTCAGCTCGTCTTATTACAACCTGAATAAAACAGATCCCTTTTTAAAAGTTTTATTTTAAATAGTTATTTATTATTGTGGTGGAAACTTTCTGTGATACTTGCATAGCAACAAACTATTTTTTCTACATTTACTGTACGCTTAAAATGAAGTTCATTGTCTGTTTTTTTTCTCTTGCAAAGATTACTCGCAACACTGATTAGTGCTTTTCTGGTTATACTTCTGGTACTTTCCACCTCTTTTAAGTTAAAAAGTTCGTTTTTCAAGAATCCTGTGTCTTTGTTCATTAGTAGATTTCTCCCCTCGTTTCCTTGAGTAAAATGGAATTAAGTTATCACTTAGGTCACTTAAGTAAAATGCAGTAATAGTACCGGAGAAAATCACGTCTTTTTTTCAATATCACCGCACCGCACGCAACTTGTGTTACCAGACTTAAAGATGCACGCCTTTAAATGTAGTCGTGTGATTGAAGTGAAATGCAAGCAAACGTAAAAGTAACTGGCTTCAAATTCGTTTTTTCCATTATTACCTTATGAAGTTTTAATTTTCAGACCATGTCATGCGATCAAAAATTATTGTCACCATCAGAAAACTCTTAATAAGGTTCGGCCATTTAGGAGGAATTTAATCACACTTTGGGCTGACCTCCATATGAAAAAAAACAAGACTATACAATTCTATTCAAAGAATTACTGAAAAAGACGGTTATCATACAATTTTCATGCTAGAAATTGTATTTATATTTTCTTTTATTAATCGCAATATCACTTTTGTGTTCAATTAAACATTTCTTTTAAACATGCTTGTAAAAAGTGTATTTTTTGTCTATAACGCAGTCTAGGCAGTTTTTTCATAAAAATAAAATATTGATTATGGCTTTTTTGTGACTTATGAAAGATTATCTCATACAAATACTCAATCACGCCGATAACCTGTGAGAGTTTATCCCCTCAATTATTAGTTTTCTTATCTTAAAAATGTTTTTGTTGTGTTTTTGGGGTATATACAAGTTAAATAGCAAAACTCGAAAACTAATAATTTTTTTTTGTAAGAAAAAATGCTGATCAAAAAATTTTATGAGAAGCAGGTTTTAAAACTATAGGCAGGTAAAGTGTAATATGTAATTTGAAAATTAAAAGCTGTTTAAAACTTAAAAGCTGCTGATCATAAAACTATAGGCAGAAAAAATGTAATATGTAATTTGAAAATTAAAAGCTGTTAGCTTATATTGAAAGCACATTGGCAGACTTGGAAAAATGAAAACACTGATAATTGCTAAAGTTTTTTTATTCGTATAAGAGAAAAATTGTACTCGGTGGCTGAGATCGAAGTACAGACTCTTGTGAGCAAATTTGTGCTTAATTAAAAAGTTTCGAGCTGTGACTTTTTTATTTTATTAAATAAACTTCTTGTAAATAAGTTCATTTCAAGCATATCAGTGCTTGTCAAATGTTGATTTGGCCTTGCAGAAAACGAACTGATTAGGATATCTATAAACAAAACAGTGTACTAAGAAAGCAATCATCCACTTCCTGACAGCAGCAGTCTGAGACAGCTGCGAAATTCGCCTTTGAATGGCACAAAAAACTTTAATTCTGTTTTTCACAAGAAAATTGTGAATTGAGCCTGGTGGATTTTTTTTTGAAGTTTCAAATATGTTTTTGAAAGGATTTGAAAACCTCCAACGATATTATCACACTGAACCGTAAAGGTTTGGTGGTACACGAAAAATATCGTGAACGCGATTTTTTAATGAAAATGGGGGAAAGCGTGGAAGCCTTGAAAAGTTTATCTGATTTGAAAATTATTGTATCAAATTTATAGCGTGTTTATTTTTTTTGTAAACATCGAACTCAATTAATTCAATTGAAATTTTGAGATGTTTTCACCCCATCAAAAGCGACTGAGACACAATACTCAGGGGTATTCTCATGATGGATGTTGCAATAACCGAAATCTTTATTAACATAAAATGAAATGGAGTGGCGCAGAAAAATATTTCGCTTTGATTTTTTCTTTCGAAGTTGGATTTACTTTTCTTGCAAAACCCGACCTCATTTTTGCATTATTTGAAATTTTATGTATCTGCCCATTTTTCATAGATCAAAAACTTTTTTAATGGCCTGGATTTATTCGCTTTCTGAAGTTTTTTTCGATTTTTCTGAGGTTTTTGAATACTCAATTCTGATTGGCTAAAAATAAGTGAAAATTCAATTCCATCTACAGGTCCCTCCATTATGGGGGACCCCACCAGAATACTCCTTTAGGTTTCTGATCCAAACACGACCGACTAGTTGAAAGACCTAAGCCATCAGATCAAATAACAGATCCAAATTTTTCCTGTTGAACAAATTGTGTTCTTGCTAATGATTCAATTAATAAGTGTTTTAAAAATTTTTAAATACGCAAAAATTCGCAAAAATTCAGAAGATTTCAAGATGAGGAAACACGGTTTCGATAAGTTAAAATGATCCAATAAGTTGAGTAACCGTAAAGTAGAAAGTTATTCGGAGACAAGGAAATGGCGGTCAACCAAAGGTGACAGACAACTCCGAAGGTTAAAAACTAGTTAGCGCCAAACAGATAGATAAATTAATTAGCAACAACTAGAATGAAACTGGACTCGAAAGATGAAATAATTTAGATACTATGATATTCCCCTTCTTGTAAGAAGTGATGACTCAATTTAAGTACTCAATGAAATGTTGTTGTATGAAATAAATAAAGTTTTAACGACGTGTTTTAAATAGAAACGACGAGTTTTAATGAAACGACGAGTTTTAACTAGAGTTTTGTTTACTACCTGCGACCACATATAAACTTAAACAGTTGAGTTTTTGCCGCTTCACGGCATGCCCTCTCCCTGGACGTTAGAATGTTTTAAGTTTTGTTTTTCATGTTTTTCCTCTTCTTTATTTTGTTCCTGATTTTTCCGTTTTTTGAATGTTGTCAATCATGACTGCTCCTATTTTGGTCACTGCTGTGCGCTTCCTGCCCGACCGTCTTGAGCTGGTCTCGTCCAATGAGCTCGCCGAATCTTGGCTTGAATATGAAACAAGTTTCCTGCCCCGCTTTTTCCCTCCAGTTTGTGGATTTTTTGCTACTTCGCGCTCCGTCTCCTATGGCGTATTTTCCGTGGTGTCGTCTTTCCTCCGGTTGGTCTCCGTTTCCGCCTCTCGTGCAATCGTACACTCTGTCGCCGTCTCGTAATTGCTCGGTCGAATCGTTATCGTCTCCGTCGGTACTTGATCTTGTCCCCCACCAGACGTTCCTTGTCTCTCCCCTTCAACATCCGCTCCCGGTTTGCCCTCATTTGTCGTTTCGATAGCTTGTCTTGTCGTTGCCAGCGGTAAATAGTCATCCTCGTCCGATTCCGAATCCTCCACATTGTCCCTGATTTGGAGTTTAGATCGTTTTCCTACGGTGCGTTGGTAGGTTCGCGCAGTGCCTTTTGAGCTGCTAGGTTGGTTCGCCAATAACTTCCGTGTCAGGTCCCACGGCGTTGGTGGTGTAGCGATTTGGCCCGGCGCCTTTTCTTATGAATAGTCGTCCGTTTTAGTGCTACTCCAGATTTTCTAAGCACAGCACCATTACTCATTTTAAAAGTATGTTCACTCTGATTTATTATACTGGATTTCAATGGTTTATACCTATTCAGATTTCGCTCTCCTGTCCACTGCATGAATACCACTGGTGGTATTGAGGCTGGTTCATCCGAGGCCCGAACAATCCCGGGTTCATTGTCCTGACTAGCAATCCGGTCATCAGCCAGTCTCATTGGGTGGCGCATGTTATTCACATCATATTCCGTATCAGATCGGACTCCCCAGTTTGTGTCCATCTGTTCTGGCATCGCTTGAGTGTTGGGGTCTCGTTCATCTAAACAGTTAGATTTTGAGCGTATTACCTTTTCCCAACTTAGATTCCTTAATGATGGCTTTTTGGTCAAGTTCCTGAGGACCGTGTTAGCTTCCCGACCGTGGTGCGCTTCAAATGGTGTTATTTTCAGGGTGGCGTTTTTGGCGAATCTTAAAGCACCGAGGGCCCTTTCAACCATCCGATCCAAGGGTTCCGGTTTTTCCTCCCGCGCATACGTTAGCACTGAATTCTTGATGCTGCCAATTGTCCGCTCGACGCACCCTGTTGCC